TGTAGGTACTGTTGTTACTCTCTACAGAGAAGTGTAATGTAGGTACTGTTGTTACTCTCTACAGAGAAGTGTTATGTAGGTACTGTTGTTACTCTCTACAGAGAAGTGTAATGTAGGTACTGTTGTTACTCTCTACAGAGAACTGTTATGTAGGTACTGTTGTTACTCTCTACAGAGAAGTGTAATGTAGGTGTTGTTGTTACTCTCCACAGAGAAGTGTAATGTAGGTAGTGTTGTTACTCTCTACAGAAAAGTGTAATGTAGGTACTGTTGTTACTCTCTACAGAGAAGTGTAATGTAGGTACTGTTGTTACTCTCTACAGAGAAGTGTAATGTAGGTACTGTTGTTACTCTCCACAGAGAAGTGTAATGTAGGTACTGTTGTTACTCTCCAAAGAGAAGTGTAATGTAGGTACTGTCGTTACTCTCTACAGAGAAGTGTTTTGTAGGTACTGTTGTTACTCTCCACAGAGAAGTGTAATGTAGGTACTGTTGTTACTCTCTACAGAGAAGTGTTTTGTAGGTACTGTTGTTACTCTCTACAGAGAAGTGTAATGTAGGTACTGTTGTTACTCTCTATAGAGAAGTGTTATGTAGGTACTGTTGTTACTCTCTACAGAGAAGTGTAATGTAGGTACTGTTGTTGCTCTCCACAGAGAAGTGTTATGTAGGTACTGTTGTTGCTTTCCACAGAGAAGTGTTATGTAGGTACTGTTGTTGCTCTCTACAGAGAAGTGTAATGAAGGTACTGTTGTTACTCTCTACAGAGAAGTGTAATGTAGGTACTGTTGTTACTCTCCACAGAGAAGTGTAATGTAGGTACTGTTGTTACTCTCTACAGAGAAGTGTAATAGGTACTGTTGTTACTCTCTACAGAGAAGTGTAATGTAGGTACTGTTGTTACTCTCTACAGAGAAGTGAATGTAGGTACTGTTGAGAAGTCTCTACAGAGAAGTGTAATGTAGGTACTGTTGTTACTCTCCACAGAGAAGTGTAATGTAGGTAGTGTTGTTACTCTCTACAGAAAAGTGTAATGTAGGTACTGTTGTTACTCTCTACAGAGAAGTGTAATGTAGGTACTGTTGTTACTCTCTACAGAGAAGTGTAATGTAGGTACTGTTGTTACTCTCCACAGAGAAGTGTAATGTAGGTACTGTTGTTACTCTCCAAAGAGAAGTGTAATGTAGGTACTGTCGTTACTCTCTACAGAGAAGTGTTTTGTAGGTACTGTTGTTACTCTCTACAGAGAAGTGAAATGTAGGTACTGTTGTTACTCTCTACAGAGAAGTGTAATGTAGGTACTGTTGTTACTCTCCATAGAAAAGAGAAGTGTACAGAGAAATGTAGGTACTGTAGAGAAGTGTTATGTAGGTACTGTTGTTACTCTCCACAGAGAAGAGAACTGTTGTTGCTTTCCACAGAGAAGTGTTATGTAGGTACTGTTGTTGCTCTCTACAGAGAAGTGTAATGAAGGTACTGTTGTTACTCTCCACAGAGAAGTGTAATGTAGGTACTGTTGTTAGTCTCTACAGAGAAGTGTAATGTAGGTACTGTTGTTACTCTCTACAGAGAAGTGTTATGTAGGTACTGTTGTTACTCTCTACAGAGAAGTGTAATGTAGGTACTGTTGTTACTCTCTCTACAGAGAAGTGTAATGTAGGTTTTGTTGTTCCTCTCCACAGAGAAGTGTAATGTAGGTAGTGTTGTTACTCTCTACAGAAAAGTGTAATGTAGGTACTGTTGTTACTCTCTACAGAGAAGTGTAATGTAGGTACTGTTGTTACTCTCTACAGAGAAGTGTAATGTAGGTACTGTTGTTACTCTCTACAGAGAAGTGTAATGTAGGTACTGTTGTTACTCTCCGTTACTCTCTACAGAGAAGTGTTTTGTAGGTACTGTTGTTACTCTCCACAGAGAAGTGTAATGTAGGTACTGTTGTTACTCTCTACAGAGAAGTGTTTTGTAGGTACTGTTGTTACTCTCTACAGAGAAGTGTAATGTAGGTACTGTTGTTACTCTCTACAGAGAAGTGTAATGTAGGTACTGTTGTTACTCTCCATAGAAAAGTGTTATGTAGGTACTGTCGTTACTCTCTACAGAGAAGTGTTATGTAGGTACTGTCGTTACTCTCTATAGAGAAGTGTTATGTAGGTACTGTTGTTACTCTCCACAGAGAAGTGTTATGTAGGTACTGTTGTTGCTTTCCACAGAGAAGTGTTATGTAGGTACTGTTGTTGCTCTCTACAGAGAAGTGTAATGAAGGTACTGTTGTTACTCTCCACAGAGAAGTGTAATGTAGGTACTGTTGTTACTCTCTACAGAGAAGTGTAATGTAGGTACTGTTGTTAGTCTCTACAGAGAAGTGTAATGTAGGTACTGTTGTTACTCTCCACAGAAAAGTGTTATGTAGGTACTGTTGTTACTCTCTACAGAGAAGTGTTATGTAGGTACTGTTGTTACTCTCTACAGAGAAGTGTAATGTAGGTACTGTTGTTACTCTCTACAGAGAAGTGTAATGTAGGTACTGTTGTTACTCTCCACAGAGAAGTGTTATGTAGGTACTGTTGTTACTCCCTACAGAGAAGAGAATTATAAGTCTATTTATTAATTAACAATTTGTTTTTATATAGAAATTCTTTTAGAACTAATGCTATAACTTTGGTTTGAATTGTCACTATAAATGTGAAAGATGGAATTGAAGTACAATGTAAATAGAAATAAATTAGGAAAAAATAGACAAACTTACCTGTATATTGAAAAAAGGGAGTAAAAAATATACGGATTTATCATTTGAAAAGCAGACACCACAGAATTCATACAATTCAATCTATCCTAGGATCTGTCTACGTTATAAGTATAACACACATTTTCAATGGGAGGGAGATAATCGTTAGAATCACTGCTCAATAAAAATCCAAACAGACGTTAAAATAGAATTGATAGAGAAATCAATTATTGGTTTCATTCCTTCCATAAAAAATGCTTTTCAGAAGTCTCTTTCTTTTGTCTCAATAGTCTCTTCCTTTTGTTCATATTTTGTCCTAGTTTTGTTCAATTTGAATTTGGATAATCAGATGTTTACAGACGGAAACAATAAATAGATAAAACGATAAATAAATAAATGCTTTTAAAGATGCTTCATAAGATGATGAAAATTGATTTAATATCAGATAAATGATGCAATCCAATAATAGACAATAACAAATGGGTTTATCTGGTATCCGGATATCACATGAAAATAATTCTACAATCATCACGAATTCGCTGATGTAATACTTAACACATCTTGACTATGTCCCTCCCTCTTTTTGTTTCGAAATTCTTGTCTCCCCTTTCCTCTCTATCCTGCGCATTTCTCTGGCGTCTGTAATCAAGAAGGACGTGTTTCCGGTCGTGCTTACGCACGACAGACAAGTGAGAATGGCTTCCTACGAGGTTTATTGGGCTCTCTTTTTCGTTAATAATATAAACAAATCACTAAGAATTAGTGGAAGATATACTTAATTTTATTTTCCGTTAAGTCCTTGTCTTTATCATCAATTCTCAATCAATGATAACAGACCTTGTTCCACAAACCATAAGGTACTTATTTGAAGCTGATCATGTTTGATGCTCGTTAGTTTGCCTGTTGGTTCTGTTGTATGATATGAAGCTGGACGTGTTTGATGCTCGTTAGTTTGCCTGTTGGTTCCGTTGTACAATAAGAAGCTGGGCGTGTTTGATGCTCGTTAGTTTGTCTGTTGGTTCCGTTATTCTATACCTTGTTTTTATTTGAAGAGGTGATATTACTCAAGGTTTACATGGCGGGTTTCGTCGATGAAGCAGAAGACTCTTACTCTTCTGGAACACCTGGTCTTATTTTCCTTGTACTTTTCCTGGAGCGTCTGTGTAAATCTTTCTGTCGTCATATTTTGCCCTAGTTTTATTGATATTGAGTTTGGATTATGATTATCTTGACATGTTTGCATTTCCTGAGTTTTGAGAAAGTTTGAAAAAAGTAATCCCTCAAATATGATGAAATCATTAATGGGTACAAGTAGTATAAAGAGGTCAAATCAAACAACACTGGTATTGAATGCTAAATCAAAATAACGGTGTTTAGCATTAGTAGGCAATGAACAAATCTTTGACGAAGACATGGAAATTATCATATTAATTCCATTAACTGTCTGTTTACTTCTGTTATGATTTCATGGAACACACAAATAGTTATTCAGCTCGCGACAATTAAAATCGAATCCTCGATGAAACAAGCAATTTATCACACCACAACATAACAAATCAACGTCATATTGTAACGTCATGCTTGATATGCCAATGCGGTGAAGTAAAAGATTGTCAACGAAAAAAAAATTTGCAGTCTGTGATTTGATTTTAAGAATTTCTTTTTTCAATAATTATTGTTTTCGATCAATAAGACATTTAAAGGAATGTACTCTTGGCATAAACGGCTGATCCGCGTTTTTCACAAAACATAATTATACATAAAAATAATTTGTGTTTCAAAAGATGTATTGATTTTTAAATTCAAGAAAGACGATGTGAACTGTTGTTTCTATAATTGGTATTCAGCCTAAAATAGCCACCAGCGTGATATCAGAAATAAGCAGAAATATGCCCTGTTAAGGAATGAACCATAAACCGGGGCCATACCACTTATAAAATATGTCGTGTTCTTGATGATTCATTATCCACTTTTTTTCCCTGAATATAAACATCGAACATAATGTCTGACTTCAGATTTGACCTCCGCTACTTCCAAGCTTCCCTTGGAACGTCATGGTATGTCACTTTCGTCGCTTTGTCGTTCATTTGACGTGCTTTATTTCATTTTCATTTCAGAACCTGGTCTCATGCACATTGCTATTTTCATTTTTTTGAAATTTAACTTTATTTTATTTTACCCAAGTATTCTTATTTCATACTTTTTTCTACATATGTCTTCATAATGTTTATATTGATGCAAAAAGATTTCAAATTATCAATCATACATATTGCTATCAAACGAAGTCTTGTAATTCGCGTGATACTCTTGAACTATCTATGACGTCACTTCCGCAGAGCACCAGTATTTCGATCGTCGACATGCCGAAGCTACAAAATCAAGAACGGAAGTACACATTACGTTTCAGTTTGTTCTGAGTACACTGCAGTGAATTGAAGATTCAAATATACAATTAGAAAAAAATGCATCTGCTGCAAATTAATTAAGTAATTGTATTTCGTAAATAGATAAATGATGTTTCTTAACGATAACGTCAAATAAGATATATGACGTCATACCAACACCTTAACTTAAATGTTATATGCCTGAATGTAGTGTAAAAACCATACGGGAAAGAATATGTAAAAGACCTATAATTTGATTTCTAACTTAAGGAAACAAACCTGACGTCAGAATTTAATCCAAGAAGCTGGACGGACGATTCTTGAGTCGTACAGAGACGAACATTGACGATATCCTCTATACGTTGTTTAATACTGAAGATATTTTCTTTCGTTAATAAAGAAGAAACGTTAACTTGGGTCCCACCTGGTAACAAGAAGGAAAATATGTGATAATTTACTGAATAAAATTAAATGATATTAAATGATTATTGGTAAGTTAAACTAATGTTGAATTAATTCTGAAAAAGGGATACCTTCTTCAGCGCCTTCAAGCTGCATGATCGTACAAATATCTGTTAGTTGAAATATGAAAAAGATATTTGTTGACTTGTAAATCAAGCTGACAACGCAGGTTAAAAATCTTCCATGTAGAGAAAAGTTAAAGAAACATTTTTTTCAGAATACTTCCGGAGCACCTCTCCGTCACCATTATTTCCATGAAGACGCAACGCCACTAATCTATATAATAACAAATAGATATATTTCCATAACAACCTGGATTTATTTGCCGTCATTTTCCATCCGAGTAATAGATGAACTTGGAAATGACATTGAACACGTATTGATGACACACAGGTACAATAAAAGCCAAATAACGAAAATGCAAATGTATTTACATTACAATCTACACAAAATGGACCATGTGTTTAGGAGGAATACACACAATTAATCAACAAATAAATAACAGTGTTTAACCTTACATTGTTTTTCTAGAGAACATAAGTAAATACCTGCTTAACAAGCTTTACTATTTCGGGTTATTTCCTTCAGAAAATTTTTTTTTTGCTTTCACGATCTACGGCAGGTCAAGTGCTAAAAGCACTTACACGACCAGGATTGAGAAAAGATTACAAATTCTCACATATTACAAGCATTCTTCAAGTGCTTCAGTGACGCAATGTAATTTGGTCGTGCAAATGCATTTGTTTCAGGACATTTGTGATAGTCTGCAGGGAGTTTGTTCTCAGTGTTGTTTTTATTTCATTAATCCCCCCCTCCATTTTTTCACGTAATTTTGGATAGCTATGAAGTACTGATCATCTGCACACTAATTCAAGGTTCTCACTATTTTGTGGTCACACATACGTCTGACTATACTTATACAGGTGCGTTTCACTTCCGGCTCTTTACAAAGAAATGAGTACAAGTTGGAAACGTTGCTTTTTATACCCTTGGTTGTCCGCTTGGACTAAAATGTCTGCCCCGTCTTTAGATACGCCGCACGAAAGATAAAATAAGGGGAAAGTCATTTAAGAAACAAATTCTTTTTATATCTCAAAATGAATTCTTTTTAACATTGTCAGCGTTTAGGATAGATTTATAGTTCAGGGTCGCCATACGACCACTTTCAAAGCCTGCTACTAAATCCACAATTACATTTCATTATTCAAAAGCTATTATATTAGACTCAAATGACGTGTACAGTTTACAAATCAACTCGGAAACTTATCAATGGGAGAAAATATGTTTTCGCCAGATTTACATAGAAGAATAAAACTTTATGCTCAAATGTTAACATTTTACAAAATTTCCTGAAAAATCACACTTAGTTCCTTGTTAAAAAAAACGAGTACCTTGTATTTGTGTCACGCTGCCCAATCTAAATCTTGGAGATCGTCGCGTTTGTTCCGTGCAAGAGAAACCCCCTGGATAGTTGACACAGGAAAGTTGTGTGGGACACGGGTTTACTTCACATTCATTGATGTCATTCCCACAAATTTCACCATCCCAGCCACCGAGACAGTAGCAGACGACCGCCTCCCCGACTGTCTCACAGAGGGCGTGATTCAAACAAGGCGATGGGTTACACTTATCTTTTGTGTTGTTACAGTGGGCTCCCGTCATGTCTGGTGGACAAATACACTCGTACGTTGTTGCTGAAGAAATGCATGTCGTTCCGGTATAGCAAGGATTGTTAAAGCAAAAATCCTTTTTCATACAATCACGCCCCTGAAAACCAACTGGACACACGCACGTGTAGTCACCTTTCCCATTCACACAAACACCGTTATTATTGCAAGGCGTAGACGCACAATAATCAACTTCATTGCACGTGCGTCCGATCCATCCTTTTGCGCATGTACATGTGTAAGTGTTCGTATCGTAGGTACACGTTGCTCCGTTCAAACAGGGTTGACTACTACATGGGTCAATCTCGTCACATATTTCACCTTTGTAGCCGATTGAACACTCGCAGATAAACCCGTGACCATTTTGTCGACAACTTCCGCCATTTTTACATGGCGAGAGACTACAGATATTGTCAACATAGTGACAGTAGTATCCATCAGGGAAGGCCTCACATCGTCTGTAATGTCCGCAAGGGTTGTCAAGACATGAATCCGGAATGGAACAGTCTGGCCCAGTCCAGCCACGCCCACATTTACACACAGGGGCGTGGTCCTGATATATACAGGTCCCATTGTTCTGACAAATCGTGTGCTCACAAGAAAGACAGGTATAACTACCAAAGTTGTTTACACACGTCTGTCCAGATGAACAAACTGATCGCAGGCATTCGTTGATATCTGTCTCACAGGTGAATCCTGTCCAGCCAGGTTCACAATTACAATGGAATCCAGATGCTGTAGTCGCACATTGCCCATGCCGACAGGGGGAATAGGCACATACATTCAATATCTCACAGTTGGTACCCGTGTATTCAAAAGGGCATTGGCAACGGTATGTATTAGCAATATATGTACAGGTTCCACGGTTCAAGCAAGAATGTGCTAAACATCCTGAAACCTAAACATCATACGTTTGTCCAGTATATCCATTCGGACAATCTCATAGATAAATTATATATTTTCACAACAAACATATCGGACATAGTATGTGCTCCGTATATTATATATGTTCTGTGCTACAAAAAGTTAAAGTGGATTCAACGAATTCTGTCTCTGGTGACCTATCGAAACAGGCTTGGAGACCTCATAAATTATTCACGATGTGGCACAATATTTTTTTTAAAATGTGTGTAATTGGCCGTGATCCTCCATCAACTCGCCAATTCATGAAAGTTGAATTTGCAAATAAGGGCGTGAATGCTAGAACCATCAACGATATTTTTACACCAGATGTCTGTTCAAGCGAACATACCACTATCCTATCAAAGCAGAAATATCTCTGTAATATCCTACAGTCACTCCAAGCACAGTGCACTCAAACTTTTCAACCACAAACAAATGCTGGAACAACTAAATATAGATGACCTTAGAACTAGTCCTCCGTCTGCTTGTTCTTGTTCTACATCTACTTATAACTATGGTCCAGTTGGGGACATAGTAACGGGTGATATAAGTATTATATTATATAATATATATATATATATATATAGTATTGTTACGTTACGATAGTTTTTCGTTAAGGACAGAAGTATTAACCTCGTCCATTAATTGGAATATGAGTTTCATGTGGAATCAAAATTAAGTAGATTTTAATGGACTCCAAGAGCTTTTACCAATCTTCGATATCCTCTCCTTAAAAGAATATCGTCAATAAAAAATACCCCTTTCATAACTGAAGAAATGCCTCCGTTCTCTTGTTATGAGAGCTTTCGACACCAAAAAAGTGAACGGCTGTATAAATATATGGTTGTGCAATATACTGAAGCGTATTTTGACAAACTTACATCCAAAGAAGAAATGTAAGAAGGACGAAATCATACAATTGATCGCGTTTCAAAGACACGATAGACTCTTCTACACTAGCCGTTTATCTCGATATTTTCCTACAATGAAGCCAAAATTCACAGCTTTTCACCAAGCTGTATGATAAGCGCCATGATTTCAATTTCCATATTGTTGAATTTCCATTTCTTGATTGCAACATCCCTGCATTCCCAATCCATGATGTTTACATGTCGCTGTTTATTCCATATTCTAGGGCCTGTTCTCATTATCACAATTTTAGTGCAAGAAAAGTCAACTGCCGAAACAAACTCGTAACAAAGTGTTTCAAAAGATACAAGTTGATTAAAATTAAGGGCCAGTTTTACGGTCGTCATGGTGATCTCATTTAGAAATATTCTTTTTTTTGTGTGTGAAATAAAGCTGGACGATTTTGCTGCTCATTAGTTTGCCTGTCTCATTTCAGGACGTGTCGTTACGTACCTGAATGTTTACATGGCTGTTGTCGACGATGAAGAAGATAACGCTTACTCTTCCACAACATTGGTATACACTCCTTGTACATTTTCAGAAGTCTCCGTTTTATTTTTTTCTTTTGCTCATATTTACCTTAGTTTTATTAAATTTGAGTATGGATCAATTATATATTAATTATTAACCTCTTTCGTAATTTAGACTCCCGACTGATTGTTTTCAATGAAATTAATTTATGTTATTATTGTTTATAATACGCCCCGAAACCAAGCATAACATAGTTCGATCATAGCAACGTCAACAAACGAGAATCAAATTAGAAACAGTGTACCATATATAACCTGAAAGAGTGTAGAAAATAAAAGAAATTTTAACAAATAAACGAGACTAATAATAAACTCCTGCTTCAGTCTTCAGAGTTTTGTTCTCAGATATTTAAAAAAAAATGTGATTGTTTCCTTAATAAAAATGAAATCTTTATATTACTTTATTCTGAAAATTCCAATAGTTTTTTTATTCTTGATTCATAATTCTATATAGATATTTATTTAGATGTAGATAGGGCGATACTAGTAGTTATAAAGTTATTTGTTGCAGCAGGACTCACAAGACAGTCTGCATCATTTAATATGAGAAGGACAGAAGATAGTAATATTTGACTGAGGCGTTACGGGTTCAGTCACAATGAGAAGGACGAGAGATAGCAGTATTTGGCTGGGGCGTTACGTGTTCAGTCACAATGAGAAGGACGGGAGATAGTAGTATTTGACTGAGGCGTTACGTGGTCCATCACAATGAGACGGACGAGAGATAGTAGTATTTGACTGGGGCGTTACGTGTTCAGTCACAATGAGAAGGACGAGAGATAGCAGTATTTGGCTGGGGCGTTACGTGTTCAGTCACAATGAGAAGGACGGGAGATAGTAGTATTTGACTGGGGCGTTACGTGTTCAGTCACAATGAGAAGGACGGGAGATAGTAGTATTTGACTGGGGCGTTACGTGTTCAGTCACAATGAGAAGGACGGGAGATAGTAGTATTTGACTGGGGCGTTACGTGTTCAGTCACAATGAGAAGGACGGGAGATAGTAGTATTTGACTGGGGCGTTACGTGTTCCATCACAATGAGACGGACGCGAGAGAGTAGTATTTGACTGGGGCGTTACGGGTTCAGTCACAATGAGTAGGACGGGAGTATTTTAAGGAGGAATTGAGTATTGTGGTCTCGTAAACTATTTACAAAAGAGTCACAGGAAACGAACTTCGGACAATGCCTCAATTAGCAGGCATGTCATTGTATATAGATTGCTTATACTATAATACATGCGTTTGAAATAATTATAGGCATTATTTTTTTATTATAAACTAAAAACACGTCTGAAATTAGGTTCTTCAATGGTTTAAAGAGTAACAAACAGTTATTACATTAATAAAAAAAATACGGATTGATACAAATAAGGTCCTAATACGATTAGGTACATCTTTTTCTATCGCATTATTGCTGAATGACATACCTGTGGTGGTGTTGCTGAACCGCTGTGGTTACAGTTCAAACCTTCAAACGGGGGATCACAATGCAGAGTTCCATTACTGGAAGGCGGAGTGATACACTGTTTGTCACAATATAGTCCGTAGTAAGACATGTCACATCTTAACGTTCCGTTAGAATCACAATGTCCATGAGAAGGCGGAGTGACACATTGTTTGTCACAATGTAGTCCGTAGTAAGACATGTCACACCTTAACCTCCCGTTAGAATCACAATGTCCATGAGAAGGCGGAGTGATACACTGTTTGTCACAATGTAGTCCGTAGTAAGACGTGTCACATTTTAACGTTCCGTTAGAATCACAATGTCCATGAGAAGGCGGAGTGACACATTGTTTGTCACAATGTAGTCCGTAGTAAGACGGGTCACATCTTAACGTCCCGTTAGAATCACAACGTCCATGAGAAGGCGGAGTGATACACTGTTTGTCACAATGTAGTCCGTAGTAAGACGTGTCACATCTTAACGTTCCGTTAGAATCACAATGTCCATGAGAAGGCGGATTAACACATTGTTTGTCACAATGTAGTCCGTAGTAAGACATGTCACATCTTAACGTCCCGTTAGACTCACAATGTCCATGAGAAGGCGGAGTAATACACTGTTTGTCACAATGTAGTCCATAGTAAGACGGGTCACATCTTAACGTTCCGTTAGAATCACAATGTCCATGAGAAGGCGGAGTGACACATTGTTTGTCACAATGTAGTCCGTAGTAAGACATGTCACACCTTAACCTCCCGTTAGAATTACAATGTCCATGGGAAGGCGGAGTGATACATTGTTTGTCACAATGTAGTCCGTAGTAAGACGGGTCACATCTTAACGTCCCGTTAGAATCACAACGTCCATGTGAAGGCGGAGTGATACACTGTTTGTCACAATGTAGTCCATAGTAAGACTGGTCACATCTTAACGTCCCGTAAGAATCACAATATCCATGAGAAGGCGGAGTGATACACTGTTTGTCACAATGTAGTCCGTAGTAGGACGTGTCACATCTTAACGTCCCGTTAGAATCACAATGCCCATGAGAAGGCGGAGTGATACACTGTTTGTTACAATGTAGTCCGTAATATGATGAGTTACAGACCAGATTGCCGCTGTTGTCACAATATCCGTTCTGTGTTGGTATACACCTCTTATTACATTGCAGACCATAATAATGTGGGGCACACATCAGGTGTCCGTTCGAGTCACACACTTTGTTACTGGCGGGGTCAGGACTACAGTTTGATTCATATACTTGGAATCTAACATGCAGGCTAAAATAAAACAAGATAGAGTCTTACACATCCACAACTCATTTAATAATATATTATTTTTTTATCTATTTATTTATTTTCCAGTCATGAAAAAAATTCATAATTTTGACCAACCAGAGCAATGTTGTCTAGTCATTGCATTAAAATTTGACGAATTTCCTGTTCGGAAACAAATGAAGCGAAGGTTCCTCGTTGAATATATAACATTAAACGGGAGACCATTAAATTTCCTTTGCACATAGCAGTGAAAAATAAATTCCATTACACAGAGAATTCCTTTCCTAATTAGCGATTCAAATAAGTATGACATTTCACCCAAGAACTTTCTGTTGGGCATATGCAGGTTATACGCACTATGAGTTTTCTCCTAACTACCAACAATCTACTTGAAGGTGTCCAATTTCTTATACTCACGATGCGTGCGTCCTATGGTCCTGTACGGATCTTTTCTCGTGAAACCTTGCGGTACTTTGACTAGTGTCGGCTTTACTCAGATAAGGAAACACGTCGAACATACCTATGGTTCGTGTCTGTGTCTTGTCTTCAAAAGCTTTCACTGTAAATGCGGAAAACATCTGAAACAAGGATAAACATTAATTTTACTATAATTCCAAAACACGTTTCTAATTCTGCTGCGAAATGGAGATAATAAATTTTCAGGCGGCTTTTAAAAAAACATTTTTTAATTTATTCAAATTTTTTTTATTTAACAGTATTTCACATATCTACTCTATTAACAGTTTTGTAAAACATACAATTTTTTTGGTTTTAGGAACACAAGTTTCAGAGATATTGAAAACGTGAGGCAACACCCAAATATATTAAGTTAATATATAGGGATCTATAACGGAGTTAGAACCCCTATAAAGACTTCCAACAATAACACGGAGATCTGAATGGATTCAAACATCTAAAATGACAGAGTTAGACTCTGTCAGAAGGAAGATGTTTGTTTACACTTTGTTTTCTAAAATTGAGTGAGAGGATGAAATTATAGTCAAGTTTCTTTAAAAATGCAAACTTTTAAAGTCTGATTCATCATATTGCGAAAATCCACCTACCGTCCATTGTTTCACTTGGAAAATTATTGGGTTCGACAAATTGCCAATACTTGAATTGAATTTGATATTGTGCTGTCCCTGGATACGAGTACTCGTCTGGGTCTGCTGACATGGTTGGTGATTTCTAGGTCTGAAGATTAGAAGTTAAGAATCCATCAACAATTGAAAGAAAATTAACTCGATACAATACATCAACTGTTAAATTCAAATGCCATTTACGTGACGAATATATAAGATATGTTTCATGTTAGAATATTTATACCAAATAACAATCATTGATCAGTATTTCAAGAATTATGAATAATGTCAAAATATTTTAATATAATTTATACGCGCAAAAAATACATAGCAAAAGAGATTTTTATGCCCGCGGATTGAAAGATCGAGGCATATTGTTATTGTGTTGTCTGTGAGCTTGTCTGTGATCAACATTGACCTTGCCCGTAACTATGGCACGTACCAAGTAAAAGGTAGGACATTGATATTTGCTGTGGGTGATCCTTGTGAAAAGATATTTCCAGTTGTACCAATATTTCTAATCATGTGACCTTGACGTGACCTTTGACCTACATTTAAAAATTATTCACATGTCTTACACAGTACATGTTATTGTCTCTCTTCAAAATTTCGCTGCAATCGGGGACATGATGTTTCAAAACCACATCTTGCTAAAGTTGACGTCACAGCCCTGATTCGTTACTCTATAAAGGACCAAACAATAAATTAAACTGCATCATACTGCTGACTCGTCCTTCTAGGACTAGTCAGTGATTCTAAGGTGTCTAAACATCCAGAGTGATCGAAAGAAAGGGTAAAATCGAGATAAGGAAGTGCACTAGCCCCATAATTCAATACATTTTCATTATACAGTTGTGTACCTGACAATTTTAGAATAAGTACAACATTCGATTAATTTTTAAATTTCAGATGTTATAACTTATTTGTTATACAAGAGATCACAGTTCTATATTACTCCATATTATCGTGAGTTATATAATGCCTCGTCTTCTGTGTCGTAAACAGGAACTTCCCTTAAATATCACATTTCTCGCGCAATGTCGCAAGCTACTTGAATGTGTTTTTGGTTAAATCATGGAAATATTTAAACATAGAGCAAACTGTTATCGTTCTATATGATACAATGATATATAATGACGCAAAAGGACTTTTACAGTGGATAAGGAACAGTTCCGCATCTCCATACATTTCTCGACATTGTCGAGCAGCGCGTTCCTTCGCCATCGAGCACTTCAAAACGATTCTAGTGGGGACTCAAGTTTTCCTCTTTGATGCGAAGAACTTTCATTTGAAATATGAAGTACAGAAACGAGATTTCAGTCATATCAAATATCTCATATAAGATATACATTATATGTATATTATATGCATCATTTGGCGTCTTATAAAGAAGTTTTATACACGGGTAAGATATCTAATATACTTATTCAATATATCATATTATAAATATCATACGTTATATACTTTGTGAAATGTCTTACATAAATTGGTTAAAAGGAGGAATCGACATTAGGTATTATAGTATTGTCAACCACAAACTTAAGGTTACCACGTGACCATTTAACTATTTATACTGTATGGCCAACAGACTTAACACAAGAAACACATGAAAAGCAAGGTTTTTAACATATCCGTATATATGTATACCTCCTATTTACCTTTGATTGCTTATTTTCACAAAACGCTTTACATGCATTCTTCTTCATTACTTAAAGTGATATGAATCATTCCCAAGGATATATCGATACATATATAGAGAATGATTTGACATTTACATAACTTTGATTGCGGGAACAAATAGATGGTCAATAAAAGACTACCATTTCTGTTAAATCTCATAAATTTTAAAAACTTTGTCAAACAAGTGTTCACGTACTCGCCTGTAACAAACCTAAATGACAAATTTCCTCTCTGGAACACCTGTTCACTAGTGTTCACTAACCTAACTGTAACAAACTTGAATGATAATTTTTATGTCTGGAACACGTGTTCACTAACTTACCTGTAACAAAACTTGAATGATGATTTTTATGTCTGGAACACGTGTTCACTAACTTACCTGTAACAAACTTGAATGATAATTTTTATGTCTGGAACACGTGTTCACTAACTTACCTGTAACAAACTTGAATGATGATTTTATGTCTGGAACACGTGTTCACATACTTACCTGTAACAAACTTGAATGATGATTTTTATGTCTGGAACACGTGTTCACTAACTTACCTGTTACAAACTTGAATGATAATTTTTATGTCTGGAACACGTGTTCACAAACTTACCTGTAACAAACTTGAATGATACTTTTATGTCTGGAACACGTGTTCACATACTTATCTGTAACAAACTTGAATGATACTTTTTATGTTTGGAACACGTGTTCACATACATACCTGTAACAAACTTTGATCACAGCGTCTCCTGGAAGTAACAATGCTTGTTTATATCATGTGTTCGCGTAGTTACCTGTAACAAACTTGGATTACAGCGTCACACGGTACCACACAGCGTTGTTCAACTGTAGCCGCATCATTACAACACCGGAGCTGGTTATTTGTATAAACCTGGCTGTTCTGGTTATATAGTGAAACTAAATTCACCGACATTGTAGCAGCAGCATTTACCTAAACAGGGGAGTATATTTACAGATCTGCGTGTTAAAATGTGTGAACATGCATTAGTTAAAATAAGAGTTTGAAATGAAATGACAAAATGGTCAAACTGTTTCTTTTGTGTCTGCTGGTAGTTTACGAACTACTTATTCCTTTCTGATCTACATAATGACGTCATTTTCCCAATTTTTCCTAGTGTTGTTAGGGAGGGTAACGTTTTGGTCTTTTTAATGATGAAGTTTTTGATACGGTTTTCGCCATAGAACATCTTTAAAGGAAAGAATTGGAATTTCTTTATCAATGATAGTTGTATTTCGTCGAGAAGGTTAAAATCCTGCAAAATATCAATTTGATGATGATGATGATGATGGATGGTGATGATGATGATGATGATGATGATGATGATGATGGATGGTGATGATGATGATGATGATGATGATGATGATGATGATGATGATGATGATGATGATGATGATGGATGGTGATGATGATGATGATGATGATGATGATGATGATGATGATGATGATGATGATGATGGATGATGATGATGATGATGATGATGATGATGATGATGATGATGATGATGATGATGATGATGACGATGATGATGATGATGATGATGACACTCTAATTATTGATTCGGGACTGCCTGTTATCATTACATGTACATTTCTGCAGAGCGAGAGATTCACAAACAAGGGAAATATGTATATTCGAGTATGTTCAAAGAGTGTTGACACGTATTTGGCACGTGAGGAAGTGAGAATCAGTACAGTGTTTGTCATTCTAGTTGTGGACGTTCGAGCAGGCGGACAAGCAAAAATGCTATTATTATTATTTTCTAAGTGACTTTGTAGAATAAATTTCGCAGGTGAGAAATCCAACATTGAGAGCGGCCATCTTGGATCAACCGTTCATTGTCTTGCATCCGTATTCTATCGGTATGTAAGAATGCCTAGATTGGGTTTTAAAGATTCAATGTAGCGATCGTTATGATTTAGAAAATGTGTCTCACATTCTAGAGAGTATATCTACTGTAATGTCAGTTTCCTTCAACAAACCAGGACTGACACCTTTACTCGCTATAACCAGATGCGTCTTACTTCTTGTGCGGATCGTTATTTCCCCTCATTTCATCAGTTAGATTTTGAATTAAGATTCTGTAGACATGATTCTGTTTTCTTTGGCAATACTTTAGAAGTAAAATCGGATCATTTAAACCTTCCACTCGATAATGATTAACACTCATAAACCATACTCATTGTCTCATTGTCTCCTTTTTTGTTTCTAATCACGTGCTGTATTTAAAAATACATTTCGAATATAACTTCTGACAACTTACCGTTGTAATTATAAGAGAGAGGAAGATGAAGACTAGTTTCGCCATCCCGGAGTCCGTAGCTGTTAATTTGACAAGGTGAATAAACTTATCTGAATTTAAATTTGTTATCCTATGTGAGGCTCGGAAGGGGATTTCGGATTTCAGATTAGTCTTAATGTCCATATTTAAACAAACACGACACAGATATGTATTTGAAAACTACATTTATAGAACCAAAATATAGATCCTGTTACACTGAATTATTCGATGATATAAACTCTTCAACAAATTGGAGAGATTATCCCTAGGTAAACCCCATTTGATGATGAAATTTAAACCGATACCGTGGATCGTCCGTGTGTTCACTGTTTATTTTGTATCTTTTACTATCTGTAACACGTGTCTGTGTCTTACTATCTACAATAATCATAGTGAATCACGACACTAACATATCTACATGTTTTGTCATGCACTATCTCTCTTTTCAGGGATAAACAAAATTATATCCTTTGTCTCGTGAACTACCTACCCGACCCTTGTCTCGTGAACTACCTACCTACCCCTTGTCTCGTGAACTACCTACCTACCCTTGTCTCGTGAACTACCTACCTATCCTTGTATCGTGAACTACCTACCTATCCTTGTCTCGTGAACTACCTACCTATCCTTGTCTCGTGAACTACCTACCTATCCCTGTATCGTGAACTACCTACCTATCCTTGTCTCGTGAACTACCTACCTACCCCTTGTCTCGTGAACTACCTACCTACCCTTGTCTCGTGAACTACCTACCTATCCTTGTATCGTGAACTACCTACCTATCCTTGTCTCGTGAACTACCTACCTATCCTTGTCTCGTGAACTACCTACCTATCCCTGTATCGTGAACTACCTACCTATCCTTGTCTCGTGAACTACCTACCTATCCTTGTATCGTGAACTACCTACCTATCCTTGTATCGTGAACTACCTACCTATCCTTGTATCGTGAACTACCTACCTATCCTTGTCTCGTGAACTACCTACATATCCTTGTCTCGTGAACTATCTACCTACCCCTTGTCCCATAAACCACCTACCTACCCCTTGTCTCGTGAACTACCTACATATCCTTGTCTCGTGAACTATCTACCTACCCCTTGTCTCGTGAACTACCTACATACCCCTTGTCTCGTGAA